CCATCCATTTGCATGCAAAATTCAAGAAGTCCTTGTTTTTTACTGCTGAGTAGTACTCTAATATGTATATATTCCATACTTTCTTCATCCATTCTTCCATTGAAGGGCATCTAGGTTGCTTCCATGTTCTGGCTATTACAAACAATGCTGCTATGAACATAGTAGAGCATATACTTTTGTTGTATGATAAGGCCTCTCTTGGGTATATTCCCAAGAGTGGTATTGCTGGGTCCAGGGGTAGGTTGATCCAGAATTTCCTGATAAACTGCCACACTGCTTTCCAAAGTGGTTGCACAAGTTTGCATTCCCACCAGCAATGGATGAGTGTACCCCTTACTCCACAACCTCTCCAGCAAAGGCTATCATTGGTGTTTTTTATTTTAGCCATTCTGACAGGTGTAAGATGGTATCTTCAAGTTGTCTTGATTTGCAGAAGGAGAGAGAGCACGAGCAAGGAACTCAGGACCACGAGGGGTGCACCCACACACTGAGACAATGGGGATGTTCTATCGGGAACTCACCAAGGCCAGCTGGCCTGGGTCTGAAAAGGCCTGGGATAAAACCGGACTCACTAAACATAGCGGACAATGAGGACTACTGAGAAGTCAAGAACAATGGCAATGGGTTTTTGATCCTACTGCAGGTACTGGCTTTGTGGGAGCCTAGGCAGTTTGGATGCTCACCTTACTAGACCTGGATGGAGGTGGGTGGTCCTTGGACTTCCCACAGGACAGGGAACCCTGATTGCTCTTTGGGCTGACGAGGGAGGGGGATTTGGTTGGGGAGGGGGAGGGAAATGGGAGGCAGTGGCGGGGAAGAGGCAGAAATCTTTAATAAATAAATAAATACATACATACATACATACATACTTATTATCTCGTTGCCTTAGGGTTTCCACAAGAAGTAGACTGTCACACTGGGTGAAGCTTGAGCAAAAGAGCCCTCAAAGACTGCCCCCTTACAATGACTCCTTTCCTCCCACAAGGCCACACCTCCTATTAGTGCCACTCCCTTCGGGGCTCATTTTCTTTCTTTCATTTGTATATTGCCTTTATAAATTAATGTTTAAATATGTCAGTGAAAAAATCAAAAGCAACTTGACATTGCCATCCCCATCTTCATAGAGCTCTAGCTCAAGGGCCTGGCATTTTCCATGTATTTCGTGGCCAAGGAAAATCATCTTGCCTGCTACTCTCTGCCTCCCTATAAGCATTCTCTAATTCACTCTCTCTAACCTCCAAGCAGGCAGAACCATCGTCAAATCTTCAGAACCCAGTTCCAGGACTTGCCCTCAACTTGGAATATTGCTAATCAAACTGTTTCTTTGTTGCCCCAGTAGCCTCTTGTTTAGACCTTTGTCTGCCTTGTCAGTTCTACCACATGCTGCTACTGTAAGCTAAGCACATAAAGCTAAGAAGGTCCTATGGGCAGAGTCTTTGGGCAATATTGTTAGGGACACCCCAAGTGGATAACAGGTACTCAGTGAACAAGATGAATGCAATTTTATCACCTAACTTGCAATATTCTTTCATTTTACAAATATGATCTTTTTCTGAGACTGGGTTTTTTTGTTTATATTCATTGTACATTATGTGTATATACATATTAGGCTGTATATACACATAATGTAAATCATGTACTTTGACCATATTTAACCCATAAACGTTTTTATTTTGTTTAAGTCTTGATTTATTGAGACAGGGTCTCACTTTGTAGCCCAGGCTGGCCTGGAGCTAATGGGCAAGCATCCTGTCTCGCTCCCCAAATTATAGGCATGAGCCATCACACCCAGACATTTTGCCAATATTTAACAAGCATAAATAAAGCAGAGGAGGATCTCTGGTTTTGTAGTATTTATATTTTAAAGGTAAAATGTGGGCAGTAAATGAGTAAAGAAATAATATAGGATATTAGGGGAAGAAAAGAAGCGAGCAAATAGAGAAACAGTACAGAGAGACGGGTGGACACAACAGGGAAAGAATTCACCTCTGTTCTGGGTGACTCAGGAAGACGCTGCTACTACGTGTTCAAGAGAGCAGACCTGGAGGTCACAAGGCAAGCAGCAGTGCAGAAATCTGAGAACATTGCCAATGGCTGGACAGGCAGGAAGGCCAACAGACCAGTGTGCATAAAGTGGAATGAGATCACCTAGGGACAAAGTTGGGACAGCACTACTGTGGTGACCTAGGCTTTGATACTTCTGGAAAGGGCCATGATTTGGGTTACATTGTTAATGAACTGCCCTGATTACCGAGTTGAGGCTAGATTACAGTAGTGACGAGAACAACAGAGGGGATGACGAGAAAGCGGTGACAAAGAACCTCATGAGAGATGCTGTTCCACATACATCAGATCCAGGAACTTCCTGGCCTCACAAACTTCCTGGACTCTGAAACCACACCTACTCTCCACAGCAGGCTGTTTCTTGGGATCCCCTAACTGCTCAAGTCAGACTACAGTTTGCTAATCTGAGTCTTAAACCAGAGAACCCCAAGAAAAACCCAAAGGGAAGGGAGAGCAAGGCCTAGGCTTGTCCATAAAAGATTAGGCACATTGCTCTAAGACGTCAAAGTGAGAGTCACGCTGTGCACTTCTCTACCTTTTAAGCAGTGCTTGGAATTTCTAGGCAAGGCAATCAAAGTCGTTTCTTTTAGTTTTGCAGATGAGGACACTGCGCCAGGAAATGTCGGTGTAAATCTGGAAAATGGTTTGGGGTCCTGACAACCGGATTATGTCAAAGGAAAGCTACGGCAGGGAGTGAAGGTCAGCTGTAAAAATAATCAAAACCAAGGAAATTCCAGGCAGAGCCTGTGAAAATACTTCCAGAGCTTAAAAAGGTCTCAATTCCCAGCAAATAAAAATGCTGAGGACTGAGACTCTAGACCAGAGGTAAATAAATCTCTTGCCCAGCATGTATTCGGAGCTGGGGTCCATGCCCAGCATGTATTCGGAGCTGGGGTCCATGCCCAGCATAACAAAAACTGATGAGAAGTCCATACAAACAAATATTTGTAAGTCCTCTAGGAAACACGTTCCGTTCAATGAGATGCTCCCCTCCCCCATCCCAGAACACAGAAAGCTGAACAACTGAATTTCATCTTAAGAACTTCTAAGGAAAGCCCTCTAAGTGATGATTATCTGGGGCCAGCTGTGCAGGGAGAAGGAGGAACTTTCATTATCTGTACTATACTTCTGCAATATTTTATTTTATTTAGAGTGAGTCTATATTTTTACTAATTAAATGTGTCAACGTAAAAATACGTTGTGTCCCTGTGAGCATGATGTATGCGTGGAGGAGGGCACTCCGGCCATGGCACACATACCGAGCTCAAAGGACTGCTTTGTGGGGCTGGTTCTCTCCTTCATTTTTCCATAGGTTCTCGCGATCAGACTCAGGCAACCCGTGCTTGGCTGTGCAGCAGACACCCTCACCCAGTGAGCATCTCACTGGCCCCCCACTGTCATTTCTTAAATTAAAATGTATTTATTTATTCATTCATTCATTTATTCTAGGGGGCATGAACTGTGGTGCATATATGGGGGTCAGAGAAAAACTTTTGGGAGTTGGGCTCTCTCCTATCGCGTGCCCTGGGGATCTAACTCATGTCAGGCTTGGCAGGAAGCACCCCTACTCTCTGAACCACCCACTGGCCCCATCAATTATGAAGCCTTAAGGGAAAAACAAAGAAGAGACCATACAAGGAGCATCAAGCTATTGAAAAGAGCCCTTAGGTAAATATCTTTGAGAAGTGAAAAGAAGGAATAACAGCACTTTTATCTGCACTAACACATTCTTTACCAGACTGACTGTGAAAGGGTCCTACTGAATTCTGTTGCTGTTTGGTTTATTTCAGACAAGGTATGATGTAGCCCACATTGGCCTAGAACTTCTTTTACAGGTAAAATGACCTTAAACTATTTTTTTTGTTCCTTCTCTTTTTTGTATTCAGAGGAATTTTATTTTATTTATTTTTTAATTTATTTATTTATTAAAGATTTCTGTCTCTTCCCTGCCACCACCTCCCTTTTCCCTCCCCCTCCCCCAATAAAGTCCCCCTCTCTCATCAGCCTGAAGAGCAGACCGGGTTCCCTGCCCTGTGGGGAGTCCAAGGACCTCCCACCTCCTTCCAGGTCTAGTAAGGTGAACATCCAAACAGCCTAGGCTCCCACAAAGCCAGTACGTGCAGTAGGATCAAAACCCAGTGCCATTGTTCTTGAGTTCTCAGCAGTCCTCATTGTCCGCTATGTTCAGTGAGTCCGGTTTTATCCCATGCTTTTTCAGACCCAGGCCAGCTTAAACTCTTAATCCACCCACCACCATTTCCCCAGGGCTAGGAGTCCAGATGTATACCATGATACTCTGCTCATTTCTGCTTAGTATTTCAAGGAGAAACTGCCTTCTTATTTAAGAAGGACAAATAAGTTACCCAAAAAACGCCTCTGAGAAAGACTTCTAAAGAGCAATTAAAGTCAATCGTGTTCATTATTCAGAAAAGAGGAAAGCAATTCCTGGTGTACAATAAGCTAAGGACAATCTTGTTCCTAATGCGGTCAGCCAGGCAGCTTTCTGCCTGAGCCCGTTATCTCTCTTACACATCTCTGAGGCAGTAAGTCTTTGGTCTGCTTAAAGGCTGTAGAGCTAAAAAGGGAAGTGAGCTCTCAACTTCTCTTGTTATTGTATTCTGCCATGGTGATTCTCGGAGGAGCAGGAAGGACTCTGCACTGTGCACTCGGCTAGAATGGGTAGATAGAAAGTCACGTACTTATAGTACAACAGTGGTCTGAACGGTGGATTCTTTTGCTTATTTGGTTTTCACATAGTCTAAATACAACTTTGTTTCGACACATGTAACTATTCCCTGTTCTGTACTAGTCTTATTTTGGACACACACAAGTATCAACTGTTTCTGTTAAGCAATTTAAACTAAAACATTTTCAGTAAGAACACCAAGAAGGAACAAGTGTTGCACATAAGAAGACTTGGGAAAAACTTTACTCACCACTGGGTTTAATTTCTCGGACATAATTACTAGGGAACCATCCTGTTCTCCCATTTAATGTGCCTTCCCACCAGCCTCCTTCTTCAATTCCAGTGACATAAATGATGTCGCCTTTACACACTGACAGTTCATCTTCGTTAGTCTGCTTGAAGTTGAATCTCGCCTTTACTATCAACTGGTGACTTCCATTTTCCTTCATTTCCTAGAGAAACAAAAGCCACACCAGATGAAGTGCCCATCTAATTGAGGCATGCGCATAAATTATGTAGATGTCAGCAAAGTGGAGTGACCAAGGCCATAACCCCAGGGCTCTAGGGAAATGCCTCAGCAGTTAAGAATGCTGGCTGCTCTTACAGAGGAACTGGGTTCAGGTCCTAGCACCCACATGGCAGCTCACAACCATCTGTAACTACTCGAGTTCTAGGGAAATCATTGCGCTTTTCTGGTCTTCTTGGGCACTTTTGTAAGTGGCACACAGACATTCATGCAGGCAAAACACCTATACCCTTAAAGCGTATCTTTTTCCATTTAAAAAGAGTAAAACCGCAGACCCATCTCACTTATTTATTTTATTTGTTTATTTATTTTGTTCTTTTTTTTTCCAGGACAATCTCTCACATTAGCTCAGGCTGGCCTGGAATTCGCTAAGTAGCCTGGGCAGGACTCACAGCAATACTCCTGCCTCTCAGTCTCCTAAGTGCTGGGATTGCAGCTATATGATATCTTGCCTAGCTTAGCCTCTGTTTTGAATTTAGGAGTGTCTAAGTAGGTCTCGGGAGAGATTAATAGCCCCTTCAAGTCCCTATGCAAGCATCTGGAAGGTCTTGGGGAATGATGGCCCGCATTTCACCCCAGGAGCCCCTGGTGGAAGGGAAAAAGGAACTGACTTCCAAATGGTGTTTCCTGATCTCCACATGCACCTGCACTATATACATGCACACACAACGACAGCAGCAATAATAATAACAATAGAAAATTTTAAAATCAAACTTGCATTTGTCAGAGTGGACATTTTCGAAGGACTCCCAGCTTTCAGTTCCCTTTTCTTTCGTCGGTTTTTTAAATGTGGCTGCTTAGCTGTAGCAGCTACTAGAGTGAACTTAATATACTGTTCCATCCTGCTTCTCTCCAGCATAAAATCTGGTCCCAACGTTAGCTGCTAAACTACCCTTATAAAAACCACTCCCATCTCTCGGTTACTCACAAATCTCAACTAGGCTGGCCTTAAATCAAAAGTAAAGATCAGATGTCGCAGTTAGGCTGGGTAGGGGAAGGCACACATCTGTGATCCTAGTACTTAGGATTTGAAGGGAGGAAGATCAGTAGTTCAAGGTTATCCTCAGCTACACGTCGAGTTCAAGGTGAGCCTGAGCTACGTGAAACTGCCTCAAAACACCCACAATTACATAAATAAGAAGTTCTGGGTTTAACTTCCGAGAGTTACAGATCCTTATGAGAATCTGATAAGCTCAACAAAGTTTTCCTTGCTCATATTAGTTTATGCACACAAGCTTTTATATGCAACGTAAGAGGGGCCAAAGACTACGGTGCCATAGCATTCATCGGCTTCTCCAAAGGATCTGTTGGCACAGCTGGGCTATAACTTAAGGGACAGAGTGCTTATCTAGAAGCCCTGGTTCAATCCTCAGCATTGTATAGGCCAAGTATGATTGCACATGCCGGTAATCCTAGCACTTGGGAGGTAGAGGCAAGAGGACCTGAAGTTCAAGGTCATTCTACCTCCAAGACATAGCAAGTTTTATGCCAGGCTGGGTGAATATGAGAGCCTGTGTCAAAAGGAGAAGGAGGAAGGTGTGATCTCCAAAAGGATAAGAACTACCTATTCAGATGCTCTGGAAGTAACAGGTTGGGGTGGCCTACAGTGAGCTGGTCACTTGGGACAAGAATGAAAGAACAGACAATGGCATTCCTCCCAAATCAAAGCGTCTAAGACCAAATGCAAAGACAATTAGGAGGTCCAGTATAGAGAATTATCACGGGCTGATATTTAAAAGTGGATCTTCTTTTGAGACCCAGGTCTTGAGTGGACTATGTAGGCCAGGTTAACCTCAAACTAGCAGTGATGCTCCTGCCTCAGCTTCCAGAGTGCTGGGAATGCAGGTTTGTTCCACCAGGTCCAGTTACACTTGGGTCTTGCTCAATAAGAATTCAAAGAAAAAAGATTGCAGTCAAGACCAGAACAATAACAAATACTTATTGATTGCTAGTGGGTCCCAGGTAATAACACATTCTAATAAGGTCATGGAGCAGGAAAAGGAACAGCGAAGTGCCATCAAGAACAGTCGTAATGACAGACATTTGCATAGCATTCCCAGTAAAGTGACTAGCTGAAGCTTCATAAACAACAGAGCTGGGCTTCAACCCTGAGTTCCAGACCCAGGAGCCCCACCTACCTGCTTTAGCCTGGCATTCCACTTTGAACTGGCTTTCACTCAGTACCTCGTCCGTCTAGTGACACACCAAACAAACAATATCTACCTCACCACATACGGAAATACATCTGGGATGCTGATCTGATGTGACAGATTTTAAAACAGAGGGGGCAGGGAGAGGGGACTTCACTTACCACTGCCTTTGCCTGACTTTGCTGCGCTGGAGTGGTGCTGGGAACTGTTGTCTGTGGGTTTGGTGGGGCATTGTTGGTAGCAGTAGCGCTAAGAGAAGATGACCGTCCACATGGTCTTTCTGATAGCTGATCTGTGAAAAGAGGAAAAGACATGGTAAAAGAACCACTCACGGCAGCAAACCACCGACAACATGAGAAGCTCCTTCCCAGGACATTGTCAAAGCCATCCGAGCAGCTCTGGGACTTCTATCATTCTGAACAGGCTATGTCTTTCAGGCTCCCCCTCCCTTTTTTTTTCCTTTCAATGGCCAACTTTTTTCTTCTTAACCTTACTGGCCACTGCTGTCCAGTATAATGAAAAACAGCGACAGAACCACATTTTCTCCTAACCCATTTCCCTACAACTCTTCCCTCCTGAACCAGTTGTCACAGTATGCCCTGTTATCCAAGGCAGACCTATATCGGGTGCCAAACAGCTGTTTGTGGCTCTTATTACTTTTGAAATATTTCAAATTTCTCTCTTTGTTTGCTGGCCCATAACATAGGGGTTCTTTGCTTACATGTAAAAATATGCGTGGCCCACATAACATAGAGTCTCCCTGGTGTGTTGGGGTGGGGTGCAGAATCAGAATGAGGGAAATGGTGGATTTGAGACAGATGCGATCTTAATCCTAGAATCGCTTTGTAAAACCAAACACGGGAGCCTTCTCTTGCTTGATTCTTTGTGAAATTCGATCGGGCCAGAGCTGAGCTGGGTGTTTTCAGTATGCTGAGTGTGTATTAAAGGGAGAGGCTGGCTTCTTGACAAATTCAAATGAGGCTCCTTTTCCTCTCCACTTATTTTTAAAAGATATAAACTGCAAAAGTCTAAAGCCCAAACATTCCCTAGGCGACAGGCTCAGTATCCAAGTCATTTCCTTGAGGCTGTGGGTTTTAACTTTCACCTCCTTGTATTTTTATAAATATCTGTGGTAAGCGAAGAGACTGTAAAACTTGCAAGAAGAGTTTGGCAAAGGAACGTATAATTTGTGTGGCATAATGTTAGAATTGTACCACCCTCCCTTTCCAGAACTGGATACTTGTCATGTGTGTTAAATATAGCTACTTGAATTAGCTGTACTCTCTGCTATACGCCTCGCAATAGCTCAAAAACATTTTTTTTCCCAAATAGCAAAAGAACAACTTCGGAGAAGTATTTTTCTACATCTTGCTATTATCTCCAGCTCTTTGGGGGTAAAACTATAATTACTCGATGGCTTCCTAGTTGCCCCATCCTACTTGGCACTTGATTATATTGTCTGCTCATCTTCTCTAATTGTTTCACGTGGATAAGTTGAGTCTCCATAAATAGATGGTAATTTTCCCAAGGGCAGGGCCATATCTTCTACTTCCTCTATGGCACCTGGCAGTGCTGGGCACACAGTCTTTTGGCTCTTAAACCATCCAGTGGCAGAATTCATGTTTGGCGTAAGGGCTCTGGACGGTCATGTGTGGGTTCGAATCCTGGATTAGTCATTTGTTTTCCAGTTGGGTAACCGTGGGCTGGCATTCCTCATCTATAACGGGGACTTCACCATCACCATCGCCTCCAAAGGTGTTCCAGAGATTCAATGAGATCACTTGGAGCTGTTGAGGCAGCCCAGACCCATGGAGAGGACTCAAAGCCTTTGAACTCTTGTTAAGACATGATGCCACAGTAAAGGGTTTCTAGTATAGTTATATCAGCTTCCTCTTTATTCTGCTTATACTTAATGACCTCCAATACAGTGGATAAGAAATGTTTAAATAACTACTCTTTTCATTCATGGGGAATCTGAGGTTTCATTCACTGTGTAAAACTACTGAAAAGCTCTTTTTCACAACCTATGGAAAACCAGAAGAAAAATATCTCTGGCGGAGAAAGGGAAGTGAGATGGCCGTATTTTGTAAACCTTATTTTTTTTTAAAGGAGGAACTGCTCTTTACCTTTTTGTTTTCCGTCTTGTTATACTTAATTGGCAATCCAAAAACTTTGCATGATGTCCCTTTTTGGTTCTTATTGTTGTATTAAGGATATAAGAATGCAATATGTAGGCTTGATAGGCATGTATTTTCCTTGTTATTCTGTGATAAGAACATTTAAGTTATTAAAAATTGAAGTACTTTACATTTGTTTAGATTTATTTGGGGGAAGGGAAGAAATTTGTACCATATGAACAACTGCGGCCATAGTTGGCGTCTAGAAACATGGACCATAAATCACCAGCAGGCCTTACCTTCTGTTGCTTTGTTGACAGCTAAAAGAGTGCTCAGAACCTTGGAGAAATTGGCCCCTGAATAAAGGTCATCGGGCTCAAAAACCTATTAAAAAGGAAATTTGAAACTGTAAGATGTTGTAAGCAATCAACTCAACAAGCGAAACTGTCAAAAGGCCCCTACCTCAAGTTCTCAAGAGGGAAAAGTATGTTCAAGACAAAATGCAAACCTCTGCCTGCTTTCTGGAGAACCCGGCGCAGTGGCTGAGCGGCCTAATGGCATGTGGCAGCCATCAGTGAGTCAGAACAAGACAGTATTGGGATATGAAAGACAAGCCAAGGAGGAAGTGCCCACCAGGAAGTCCACAGCACATACACAGCCCCATGCTCCTGACCTGAACACATGACGCTCCTGAGCTACTTACAGAAAGCACATGTGCACAGGTTCCAGTCCCTGCCCAACAATGGCCCCAGAAGTCTACAGATAAGGAGGTGGGGCTTTCTGCTTTCCCTTTTGCTCTCGGTCCTCACTACTGGCGCTGTCACAAGTCCCTCTCTCTCCTCCCCTTCCTCCCTGGTGCTGCCCAACCGCTCAGGATCCCAATGCCACATTGCAGAACTTCTGTCCCGACCTGCCTCTTGCTCTGCACCCTCACTTCCCATTTTCTTCTCTGATCGATCTTGCCCTTCTCATCTGTGAACTGAGAGGATCTGACTCCCCATCTGCCCAACCTTTTGAGTTCTTCCCGGCTTTGGGTGACTTTTGCAGCTCTGGCTCCAGGCCTTTCTGGCACTTTGGCCAGGCATGATGGGTCAGATCTGTACTTACCACACTTGGCAAGCTGAGGCAGGAAGACTGCCATGAATTTGAGGCCAGCCAGGGCTGCAGAGTGAGCTCCAGGTCAGTCTAGGCTCAAGTGAGACCTGCCTAAAAATAAAAATCCACATTGCCAGTTTTTGCCAAAATTCTGATAGGTTACTATTCCTCCTAAAAGTGCCAATTACCTACTGATGTCTTTTTGTGTGTTCGTTTGTGTGTGTGCATGGTGTTAGAGGACAACTTTTGGAAATAAATCGGTTCTCACCTACTTTATCCATCCTGGTGAGTTAACTCTGAAAGTGACTTTAACCACTGAGTCATTTCACAAGCCCTATTGTTTTAAATACAATATAAAATGTTGGTTTTATAATACATTCCCTATATTAAGATGGGTTGGGGCATCTTATAATCTCGGACATATATATTGAGGCTAGTAACCTCAAGCACAGGAACAATCCAAAGTAGTCAGCCAATAGCATAGGGCGTGGTGACTCACACTAGTCATCCCAGAACTCAGCAAACTGAAGGAAGAGCATCACCAAAAGTTCAAGGACAACCTAGCCTACATAGTAGGTCTGACAACCTCAGTTAGAGCCTCAGAATTTACATGTGGAAGTAAAACGTCAGTTCCTTAAACTGTCCTCTGTTGAAGGGCCATAGGAGCATGTGTGCAAACTCACACACACAGAAAAAATAAACAAATAAGCAGAGGTAAACTTTGAATAAAAGGGTACCATTATATTTGCGAAGAGTTAAATGGTACTACATTCCAAATGTTTAAAACGCACTTTTCCAGGCATAAACTGACAGGAGTTCTATTTTCGTTTGCCAAAGCCGAGGTGAAGAAAATGCAGTTGATGATGGCAACAGCATCCCTACTGCAGACTCAGCCCATCTCCCCTAGGACTGACCCGGTGGGAAAGTGTTCATGGTATCTATGCCAAAATGGTCACCAGGCAGGGTCACTTGTTTTCTTTGTGTTAAGTGTGTTCCTTTTGCAATGTCACCCAGCCATAGATCACTCTCTCCCTCTCGTCTTCCTCCCACACTCCTATTGTCCACTCCCACAAGTCTCTTTCCTACACCTATGTCTTCTTTTGCTTTGTGACCCACCACGTCCAACTAAGGCTGTTTGTGAAGTTCTTTGTTTTCAGCCTCTAATTGCCAGTGGGACTGTTGATACGTGTGCATATGGGTATGTCTGTTAGACCGATATGGAAAAAGTGGACAGTCTCTACATCAATAAACAAAACGAAATGCTAGGAGAACAGACACATGTGAGTAAAACCTGGGATGAAATTGTTGCCCTTGTGTTCCTTACCCAGGTTGATTGCGTGCAAATGGCAACACTGGGATTCTTAAAGTAGCCTGGTACTTGACTGAGTTTTCGAACATAGAACTGATCATGAAATAAAACATGCATCAACTAGAGTCTGTTCAAATGAGGAAGCTACCTGGGCTGCACCCAGTTCCCTTTTGAGAAAATGTTGGGGATTAGAAGAAGAACAAGGCGCAGGGATTATTGTTTCAGAGTATCTGGGGGACCAGATACCCCGACAGACAGCCTAAGCTGAAAATCGATTTTTTTTAAAAGATAGGGCTGCATGCAGCACAGACTGACCTTGAATATGCTTGGCCGTCAAGGGGGATCTTGAAATTTTGAGCCTAGTGCTTCTACCTCTCAGTGGTTGGGGTTAGCAATTTGTGCCACCATCCTGTTATATGTTGGACAAGTACTTGACCAATTGAGTTACAGCCTCAGCCTCTCCAAATTGAATCCTACTCTAGATCTCACTTCCGTGAACTTGGCCTGGATCTCCTATAGAGAAGGAAACATTATTTGGAGAGAGCACATCACTTCCATTCATTGCCAGCCATTTAGAGCATACGGCAAATGGGAAGTGTGAGATCCTGTTTACAGAAGAGGAAAGACCACCTGGAAAAAAGTGGGGGAGAGTCCTTTAAGGTGGAGTGGGATAAGAAGAACAAGGAGAAATGAGGTACTATATAGGCCACTGGAATAGGAAGAACACTACTGTTTTGTTATAATTTTTTTGTTCTTTTTCTTTGATTTGGTTTTGAGACAGAGCTATGTAGGTCTGGCTGGCCTGCAACTCACTGTGTGCAGTAATTCTCCAGCCCCTTCCCCCCGCCAAGTGTTGGTATTACGGGATTGAGCTATTACATCTCTCCCTAATGTTACAAAATGGAAAACTAACCCCTCTTTCTATCCGCAAACCCTGGGACCTGTGGAAAGGTAAGTACTTTTCAAAGTTCAAGTCAACTCATGACAAAGGTGTGATGACATCACCATGTAGTACGCTGTAAGACACCTACTCGCCTCTTTAGTGTCTGGTATGTGATCAAGATTCTGCACAGCTGAGCTTTCTTTATCCCTGTTTTGGTCCAGAAAGAAGGCACTTAGTTCATGTAGATCTGTGAAGGCCAGGTGAACAGTAAGACTCCCCACCATCCATTCATTTTACCACTTCTGTGACTCAGACAGGGAAAAGAGAATTGGAATTCTTGCTAGAGAGTCCCAAGGTAGCCCTCCAGCAACTGGGCGAATGCCGCTCAAGTGTACAAACAACTGAATCTCTCCTGTGGGTAAGCAATAGGGAAGACAGGCACTAAACCTCATTAAAGATTCTTCTCCGAACATTCACATACAGCCAGCCAAACTCCATTCCAACATCAGCAGATGAAATGAGACAAGACATTTAGTTGTTACACGTTTTCCAACATGTTTTCTGTTCTGGAAATCCATAATAACATCAAAACCTATTTTCCATCTTCTAAACACCAGTTGTGAATTCTGAAATCTTGGGGATCTGCCAGTGTAAATTGTGCAGAAGTTACCATTTCCATGATTTTACAAATAGATTCTTTTGAAGTCACTCTCGATTTCAATATGTGAGGCAAAGAGGCACCTTAGAAGGCATTCCTCTAATTCCCTGTTGCATTCTCCAGTACCTCACTAACCCTCTCCCCACTTTCTACAAGGTCTCATAGAATCTAGGCTAGACCATAAACTCCCTATCGCCAAGGACTACCTTTCCACTTCTGATGTTCCTGCTTCCACCTCCAGAGCACGGGGATAATGGGCACTGAGCTCTACAGCAAGTGCAATACAGTGCTGGGGAAGAAACCCAGGGCTTCGTGCCTGCTAGGCTACTCACTGAGCTGTCTCCACTCTACCCCTCACTAATCAAATAAATATGATTACTGATTTGTTGGGCCCTGCCATCTGCCTGGCATGAGGCATAGAGAGTAAATACATATTGCGATGATTTGAGTGTTTATGTCACCCAAATTCATGCACTGAAATTTAACCTTTGAGGTGGTACTGTTTGGAAGTGGGGACATTGGGAACTTATTAGGTCATGAGCAAGCACAGATTCTTCATGAATGGGATCAGTAGCCTCATTAAAAAAAAAATAAAAGTGAGGCCGTGGCTCAATGGTTAAGAGCACTGACTGCTCTCCCAGAGGCCCGGAGTTCAATTCACAGCACCCACATGGCAGCTCACAACCACCTATAACTCCAGATCCAGGGAATATAACGCTTTCTAGCTTCCGCTGGTATCAAGCACACACATAGTGCAAAGATATACACGCAGGCAAAAACACACATAAAATAAAAAGAAGTTTAAAAGTAAATAAATAAAAGGAGCCCAAACAGCTGCTTTGCCATTTCTACCATACAAGACACTGTGATCATGTATTTCCCAGCTACTGGCTCTACTAGCAACTTCATCTTGGGCTTTCTACCCTCCAGAACCACGAATGAATATGAGAAATCATTTCCCTTGTTATAAGGTTATGACATTTTGATATTGCCAGAGGATAAGATTTTTTTCATTGTATTTGTTTCTCCCAACAAGCCTGCAATGTGGGAACAATTATTTCCTTACTTCCTTAAATGAATAAACTAAGATCAAGAGTATAGTCACAGACAAGGAAAGTGATAGAACCGATAAAAATACACACATAAGAAATCGGGGGTGTAGTTTACTTGGAAGAGTGCCTTCCTACTTTGTATAAAGGAAGTCCTGAATTTGACTGCTAACATCCTGTGAAACAGGAGTGTTTAAGGCATTTCTGTAACCTCAATAGTCAGGCAGTTGAAGCAGAAGGATCAGAAGGCCACGATCATCGTCAACAACATACCAAGCTTGAGACCAGCCTGAGATAGATGAAGCCTTCCCTCAAATAAAAAAATTAAAAAAAAAAACTTATAACTGGTTGCTCTGACAGGCATTGCAGCCATGCGAATACCCTTGAGGC